TGGCAACCAAAAAAATGTGGTACATCAACTGATGCCTCTTGATACATAGTACATGTGAGCCAAATTTCATCGAAATATCTGAAGTGGTATTACAGATAATAATAAATAACTATCAATTTTTGAGAACTTTACCACCCTGTATCTCGAAAGTTAGGTCGTTTAGGTCATACGTTCATATAAAACTTCCTTCTTAGAATGGGCCCAAGAATCGCAAATATTGACATTCAATTTTGAAACACCCTGTATATATACCCTTGCTTAGGTTATTGAATGAATTTAGGCTTGTAAGAATGTTCATCGGAGTTTACTATCCGGAAAAGCTTTGGGAAGTCAGGAATCAAGTAATTGCTCAGCTCTCTCATCAGGTTTTGAGTTCCCGAACTTTCGAACAAGTGAAATTTAACTATAGAATCAGTCTCAGATACTTATATTTATCAAAACCAGTCTAGTAGGTAATGAAGCTGGTTCAAAAACACTTCATTATATATACGTAACAATTATATGCATGGGACCAAAATTACATAATTTGATGTCAAATCATAGGTATATCCGAATCGCTAATCGTTCGTCAAAATACAAAGTACCTATCATCTATCAACCAAACAATTTATATTCTAGTAGGGTAGATGCACTGGTTAACCGACCGGCACTGGTTCTCGACCATTCTGTCATTTGACACAAAATAATAAGAGATATATTCCTTGTTTCAAAAAAATGACCGTTACATGTGTTTTCGACCACTTCTCCGAATTCGAAACAGCCGGCAAAGTGGGCATAACACGGAAAGAATTATTGTAGTGAATTCTAACTGAAATATATTGTTGAAATTATTTTGGTTGCCGTAACCAGATTTTCAGTTACCATGACGTGGACTCCAGATATGACATTGTCATGGACACATAATTCATATAGTTAGCTCGATATAGTTAGTATAACCATAATTCATTGTGAACCTCACTAGAAATATTCATAGGCATCCAAACTATATAATATCGTCAATTAAATAGTTGCTATAACCATAATAAAAGGTGATCATCACTATAACTACCGGAAGCTATCCTAACGATATAGTGATTGTCACATGAATTATCCTAGTAATCAGTACATATGGTTATCCACTTATTTTACTAGATTTGTCAGCCAATCATAACGACTATCTTCGCGTCATATCCCCACTTATCACTCCTCATAATGCATATTATCCCTTAGTATTATTGCATTACGGAAAGATTACGGTTGAAGTTGAGCAGGTTGGGCGAAACGAATACACTTGTTCATTGTTTTGTTTATGTATTTTCATTACTGTGAAGTTTGTGTTTATGGTGATCATGGAATCGTTATTCAATTCACTATGTGGCTGACTAGTCTCAAGCAATGGGGAGTTCTGTGGAGTATTTATCGAAATCATGGTCATTAGATCACCTTGTGCTAAACTGGTGGTAAGTTAATTCAATTCCTATCTCTCTAAGTGTACCAAATGAAATAATAGGTAGGAAATGATAGGAAGGTACCTATTCAATGATCAATTGAGTATTTTGTTAATAACCTACATGGTAATCTAGGTAAATAGAAATAGTTCTTTTCATATCCTTTATGCTAGCTCTACAAGAATGCTTCGATGACAATATGATATCGTTAAAAATAGAATACTGCTATGAGTACCTACCTAAACGGATTCTTGTAATGAGTAAAGAGATAACAATTCAACTTGTGGTAACAATATGATCTAGGTAGGTATCACAATGAAAATATTTTCATTGACTGATTGAGTGATTGATTGCCTACTCGTTTGTCTGTTATTACCAGTATTGAAGAACCAGTTCACTCACTGTATAAGTGCATACCAACACATTTGAATTCATCAGTGGCAGTTGAATTTTTCAGTTAGTTTGACCCCGAGCAGTGATAATTATGCACTTTGTACATTTTTTCATATTCAGAATTCCTTCCGAAAACGCAGTTTGGTATTCAATTGTTCGACCGCGGTTTCCTTGCGCCCAAATATAATTATGAATATAAGAAGAGCTCTATTGATAATTTGTTGTTTGTTTACAATTTCAGAGCAGGGAATGGATGAGTTTTCAATTATCTAAGTGAAGAGGTACTCAAAGATTTGATACCGACAATAGGAGACCGATTGAAATTTTCCCGCCACTGCCAGGCATTCCAGACAACCAAAAAACATCAAGTCAGCCAGTCCTTGTGACATATCAACTGCGCATTTTGTGTCAAAAATCTTGGAGGAAATATTGAATAATCCGGAGCTGTCATTAGATGTAGTCCTTTATAGTTGATCTTCAATATTCAATAAAGCATTCTGAACATTATATATTTGATGGAAAAATAGTTATTTGTTTACTAGGAAGAGGAGCTATGTGAAACATATAATTTTTTTCCAAATGTGTCTTAATTTCACGCCATGTCCAATTATCCATCAATTTGGGATTACCCAATGTCAATGTCAATTTTGATTACGAATTTGATACATATTATTACTCGCATAGCAACAAACTTTTTTGACTATAGGTAGTACTTTTTCTGCCTAGGCAGTAAAAGTACATCTTTTCTGTTGAGTTTATTAAAAAGCCATTTGGAGAAAATTATTATTTTTATGAGACATTAAGCCCGACCAAGCAGCTGACATTCAAAAAATTTTGGAGCAATATTCAACTCAACATTTCTCTGTGTAAAACTTTCCTTCATGAAATTCTGAAACCATGTCGAATTAACTATCTTGATCGGCAAGGAGAGTTCAGTTTGTAAGTATCTAAGAATTCCATGAAATGCCTCCAACAGAAGAAAAAGGATTCTCAAATAAGATCTGCATTCTAACTGTTATGTTTCATCAGGGGTCATATTTTGGAATACCACATGTTCTGAAACGCCCTGTGGAAAATGATAACATGACGAAACGATATGGTTAGATCAACAATAATATGTTGTTAACGTAACGATATGATATAGTTGGAGTTTTAATGTGATGAAAATTTGGTGACAATATCATATAGTGATTGTGACATAGTGGCATCGTAAGTACGACAATATTACAATATATTGTTATGGTAAAAATACGATCTAGTTGGGACAGCAAAATAATCCAGTTAGGACAATATCATTCAGTTAGAACAACAATATAATCAAGTTAGAATAACACGATATCCTTGTTAGAATATTAAAGTTTTCTAGTTATGGTAACAAGATAGTCTACTCATGAGAACAATATAATGTAGTTGGGGTGACAAGATATTCTGAACCCTAGATCAATATTATATTGTTGAGATAACAGAACTGTCTGGTTACGATAACACTATTATTGCTATTCTAACGAAGAGATAATGATTGATTTGCGATATATTATTGTGAGTATAGCAATATAATCTTGTTAGGAAGACAATATAAATATGGTTGAGGTGACCGTGCATTGATGATATAATTATAACAATATGAAGTTAGTTATCAGAACAATTTGGAGCTAACTATATACAAATAGTTATACTAACAATATATCTGGTTGTGCCTATACTAACTTGAATTCTAGTTAAAATTCTGGTTACGGTAACAATAATTTTTCTCCGTGAACAGTCGAGCTTTTCGCGCCAAAAATCTGTCAATTACCGTCTGCCGTTGAGAGAGGCTGCGTATTCGCCCAAGTTCAGAAAGTGCTATAGTTGATACCAGGATACGAAATAGTAAGTAAGATTCATTTTGAATGAATCAGGCATATGTATTTTGTTTTATAGTAACAAGTAGATATAGTTCTTTCTATATTTCGAGAAAAAACACACATAAATATTATTTTTTCGTTAATTATTCGGTGGTCACGGACCCGTATCACAAAACTTTGCTTTTTTATTTCTCGACCGAAGTGGTCGAGAACCAATGTCTAACTTGAATAATTGATTATTCCTAAATATATACTTTCTTTGAAAAATGTTTGATTTTTTCTTTATATAGGTACTGATTAATTTACATATCTACTTATTAAATATCAGTTCGCGACCATCAAATTAGATCTAAATGATATTTGTTTTTGCAATTTATTTATTGATGGTCGAAAACCAATTTGATCATCTTCAGTTCTCGACCACTAGTGGTCGAGAACCAGTTTGCACTAATTTTTGGTTCTCGACCACATCTACTACCCCTCAGTCAAGCATTCACGCAGAAAAATCTGGCCAATGAATTCACCACACTTTGGCTGTTGCAAAATCGTGGTACTTTCGAACACATTCGTGGTTTAATTCACAGCGTTTACGAGTGAACTACACTGGCCTGATAGTGATTGGAAACCTCAAAATATGGTACAATATTTCTAGTATTGGGAGGTTGATATCACCAAGAAAAACGTTTCATTGAACTGCGATTTAGTGGTTAAATCGGATTATTTCGAATTCTCTGATTTTCTGGTGATAATGACTGATTTTTCCTGTATATTTAACTGCTTGAACTGTTATAATTCATCTTATTTTCCTAGTTAGAAAGTTGTCTAGTTAATTGATAAAATATTAGTACTATTGACTGCAGTTGATAGTAATATGTATTGATTCTATGAAATATGAATTACTGGAGAACTGGCGTCAATGAATTGGCATGATGAAATCACATCCTTATTGGTAAATCTCAACTCGAATTGAGATATGTCATTACTATCTCTTAGGGATGAATATTTTTCAGCTATATCTACTTCGTCTTGAATAGTTCGATATCAAAAAAAATTCTATAAGGGCATTATATATAATGGAAATACTCATTCATTATTTCATTCGTTGTGTGACTGTGTTAGTATAGTGAGGTGGTTGAGTTGACGCAGTGACAAATAATTTATTTTGAAGTATATCATTCAATCAATAGGCCAATTATTATAACTAAGAGTGTGCAGCGCAATTTATTAATTTTACTTAGGAACCTGGTTTTGGAGGTAAGTTTTCACGAACATATTCTGAAATAGAAAACCTTCACTGTTCAAAACGTTTCAGGAAAATAAAACTGTTGAATTTAATATGATATGTTTCTGCTGTCTGTCTACTTTCAACGGGCTGAAATCAATAACTGAACATTATAGAATTGTACATAAGCTCAACGAAACATCAACTTATGAATGTTTGGAAAATGACTGTCAACGAAAATTTGGATGCTACAATTCATACAGAAAGCATATAACCAGAACGCACTTCCATACAAAATGCAATGACATTGGAAAGCAATCGAAAATCGATACGATCAGTAAATCTCCAAATTCTGATAGAATTGGGAATTATGATAATTCTAGTAGTCAGAGTGAAGTTCTACACCACAATGCTGATGAAGTAATTAATAATGTACAAACAGATAATGTAGTTGAAGATGAACCGCTTGTTGAACCATCAGAAGACGATGTTGAGGCAGAAAAGGAAGCATTTCTTCTAGCAATACAAACCTTCACATCTGAGCTTTATGCTCTGAATTTGCCAAGATCATACGTTCAGATCATCATCGAGAAAATAACAAAACTATTGAACCACAAATTAGTGACTAATTTGAAAAACACCATTTTACGTACAATCCTCGGTACGATGACCGATGAAAATTCATCTAGTATGCAGAATATAATGTCTAGAATCAATACATCATTCTGTAGAATTCAAAATCCATTTGAAGGTGCCTTGAGCGAGTATACGAGATTGAAACAGATTAATGCTAGCGGATATTTAATAAAGCCCTGTGAAAAGGTTGTGGGTAGTTACCTGACTATCAAGAATAATGCAAAAAAACCTACAACAATATCTTATGAGAATCTTACTATTCAAACAGTAGATATGAAGCGTGTATTGAAAAATGTATTCGAGATGCCAAATTTTTTCAGTAAGATTCTAACATTTACTGAAATATTAATGTCTGATAAACAGGCAATGAGTAATTTCATTCAAGGAGAACTGTGGAAAGAAAAACTAAAAAAAATCCCAGGTAAAACGCTATTTCCTTTATTCCTGTATTCTGATGACTTCCAGCCAGGAAATGCTCTGGGTTCTCATCCTGGTACACAAAAATTAACTGCAATTTATGTATCACTTCCTTGTATACCTCCAGAATATCTATCAGATTTGAATAATATATTTTTATTTGCTCTCTATTATTCAAAATTAAATAAACAGTTGACAAAAAAACAAATTTTTGAACCTCTCATTCGCCAGCTTTCTGACTTAGAAATTAACGGTGTTGAAATAAAAATACCCGAAGGAACAAAAACCATATATTTTTCATTGGGATTGGTTATGGGTGATAATTTAGGTCTGAATACCATGCTTGGATTAGTAGAGAGTTTTTCGGCCTCATATTATTGTAGATTTTGCAAAAGTTCCAAGATAATGAATAAAACCAAATGTATAACTGCTGATGATGAACTGAGAAATGAAGAAAATTATGAAAATGATGTCAAAGAAAATGATCCTTCAAAAACTGGTATCAAAGAAAGATGTATCTGGAATAATTTACCCAATTTCCATTTAACAAAAAATTATCATGTTGATATTATGCATGATATTTTCGAAGGAGTATGTACACTCTAAGAAAAACTGGAACACCAGTTGACACCAGCTAACACCGAATGATTTCCTTAGAGGTCCTGCATATTTCAGTGTTAATTCACACCTATTTGTAGAGCACCGGTGTTTGGTGCTATCTCTGCACATTTCCAGGTGAGATTTGTGATTTCGAAATGGATGTAAAGTAATACCAGTCTGGTGTGTTATGTGCGATATTTTCTGATAAAGTTCGCACTGGTCTGGTGTGAATCACAATACTATTGATCATGAAAAACATCAGTATATTTAAAGTCACACCAGAATGAGTTTACAAAATCATCATCAAATGATCAAATCTACAATGAATACGGTGTTTATTTACACCAGATCATTGAATTCTTAACCGGAATTGTGTCAATTCTAATTGAGGACAGTTCTTCATCTGACACGAATCTTCAGAATTCTGACACATTTAGGTATGTTCAATCAATTTGTAATTCATTATAGTGTGAAATATTTTTGTTGAGATATACAGGGCATCTCAAAATTGCTGGGACACAGAGCTACCACAGGTAATACGGGTCAAAATAAGTTGATTGGACCCAACTTCTTTTTATTGAAAAATATACAGAGTTTTCATAAATAAACATATTTTCAAAAGATCTACAATTTCTTTCGGGATTCTTCGATTACTGAAAGAAGAGTTATACTCTAAAATGCACTTTCGTCGAATATCATCCAATTTGTTTCACTCATTTTTGAACAGCGATCAGCGAACGAAAATGTGTTTATTTATGAAAACTTTAAACTCACCTCACGGACAAACGGTACATTCTTTTATATAAACAAGTTAGGTCCAATCAACTCATTTTGACCTGTATTACCTGTGATAGCTCTGTGTCCCATCGATTTTGGTGTTGTGTCGAAACATCGAGACAATTGTTTCTGATTTTGACTCCTCAATAAACTTTTCTGAGCATTTGCATTTTATTTTTATACACTTCATGATAGAAACAATCATGCACTTTACACTGGAAGAGCAACATGATCCGTGCTTATTGAAAGCACAGTGAAGAGAGACAGTGCTGAATATTGCTCAACGTTTATTACGAATGGCTGTGGAACTCTGGAGTCTGGAGTGTGGAAGTGATAGGAGCGCACGTACACAAAGAAGATGCGCAAGGTTGCCAAGCATCACGATATGAAATAACTAAGTATATGTACCTAGTTTCATGATAATTTAATGAACATAGGCAGTAGGTACTTAAATTAAATTGTCCTCATAAGTTCTTGGAAATACTTCCGTTGGCAAAGAATACCGAAGCTTCGTCGTTCCATTGACAAACGTGTTTTGGAAAGGAGTTGTTTGACATAATTCTAGATTGACGACAAAACGATGATGTGCTGACTCAGCCTGTCGAGTACGTTTGACGAATGGTGGACCAAAATGCATGTAAGCTCTGCAGTAATGATACAGAATGTTGCAGTCATTAATTAGAGAGCATCATATTGATATTGAATTCATTAACTTCTAATCATTATCTTACACCACGATGTTCAAAGTGTTATATATGAAATAGGTTTAAGTAATATAAAATAGACGAGGTGGCAACAGTGTATGGCGACAAATTTGTTCCGATGTTTTTCTGATATTAGTGGTGTTGATTTACAACTATTCCAGTGTCATTTATTCCAGTGATATCAGAAAATACACTGGTTTGGTTATCAATCTCATTAGTAGGTGAATATCTTGAAGAGGAATTATTTGTGTGAATATGGATACTTCATAAAATTGATAGCCACATGAAAAATTTGATAGTTGATCACTTTCATGATATGAATTTTGAAAAATTACACCTACTAATGATAATTTTTCAGAATATATCAACTTTGTGATTCATGAATAGAATAATTTGATGTTTACAGTTTGAATTCAAATAATGAGTATGAAAAGTGTGATTCCGAATTCAGATTTGCCATAATGTATCACGATTTACACCGTCGAACCCCACGATATCAAATTCCCAATACTTATGATAGGATAGTACAATTTTGGTGTTGAATAGGGTTAGTGTTAATTCTAACAGTCTGGAATTGGAAAAGACACCAACAGTTTTCTTAGAGTGTAAATATGATTTATCATACATTCTACATCATTTCATTTACAACATCAAGATTTTTGATTTGGAATCTCTGAATAATAGACTTGACTCATTTGATTTTGGTTACATAGATAAAAGAAACCGTCCTCCTCCTCTGAGAAGAGAAGATTTACTCAACTTCAATATTCGAATGTCTGCATCAGAAATGATGAATTTCTGTAGATATTTAGGACTTCTTATAGGTGACTGGATTCCTAGAGATAACCCTCATTGGAAGCTTTATATTTGTTTACAGAAAATTATTGAACTTGTCACATTGAGAAATATTCAGACTGAATGTTGCTACCTGCTTCAAGAAATAGTTAGGGAACATCATACATTATACTTGGAATTGTTCAAATCTAACGGACATGAACTGAAGCCGAAACATCACAACATGATCCATTATGGAAGGGTACTGAATAAATCGGGTCCCATCACATATTTATCATGCATGAGATTCGAAGCGAAGCATAAAAGCTTGAAGAAAACCTCAAATATTTGCAATTCGAGAATGAATCTACCATTTACTATTTCACTGAAACACCAGTTAGAACTTAGTAATCATTTTTTCAAAGGAGATAGTTATGTTGACAAATATGACTTCGGTGTTCCCGATGACGATGTGAAATTTGAAGAATACGATTTGAATATTCCAGCACATACAGAATGTTTTGCAGTTAATATAGAAGGGGTAGTATCTTGCTTCGTGAATTTCAAGATATCCAGAAGTTTTGTATAGTTGAAAAGGTAATTTTATTGGATAACGTGATACATTTTGTGTGTGAAAAGATTTCCACTGTATGTTACGACCAACACTTTCTCTCATTTTTAGTTAACGTGGATACAAAAAAATATCTCATTTTGAAATATGACGACCTCTTAGATCCTTTTCCTTGTTTGATAACAAAACAATGCAATGGAAATTATTATGTTACAGTTAGATATCCAATTTAAACAAATATACCTACCTACATAAAAAATAACAATTCTCATTCATTTTTTTTACATAATTCAGCATTCATCTGTTTCAATTCTTTTCAATTGAAATATGTTTATCAAACCGATTATCAAAAATATCAATAACAAATGAGTAATTATAGGTATTAAAATAATATTCATAATTTTATCAATGAAAATGAGGAGAGAAAATCTCTGGAAATCTAAAAGAATGAAAGCATTGTCGGTATATTATATTGAATTACTACAGCAATCATCCTGAAGCTGGATTTGTGTTTCAAAAAAATTATCCATACCTACTCAATGAAAAACAAACGACAATATGCGATTCATATGATCATAGACAAATATTACTATAATATGTAACGTATCCATTTTATAATACATGGAATATGTAGAATCCGCATTTATTCAAAATTGCACACACCGTGAAATAATACTGGACATTACTGGATCTAATGCCTCCCTCGTCCACCGGCCCGGCAACCCCACAATCAGAGACAATCCATCGCTCCAGATTCAGATTCCAGTTCATTCAAGGGCTTCGTGAGGAGAAGACTGTGCTTGAAACAATTCCTTCTAAACAAGTACTTAGGTATTATACTCAGTACGCAATATGGAAAAGAAATCAATGGAATTCCGAAGATCCTTAGAATCAAATGGAATCGAGCATTTACTCCCATTATTTGAAGGTATGTTATTCAATTTATTATTATTGATGTTATTATATTATTCATCAAGTTATGTCAGGTTAGGTCAACTGATTTTTCGCGATGTTTTCGACGAATCTTTCAACGTTACCTACCACGAGTCGTGGTACATATTATAGGCGTTGTTTGTACCGCTCCAGTCGTGGTATTTCACTTGCTATATATACTATTATGCATATTGCTCACAGTCAATGGTACAGTGTTGCTCAATGAATAAGTAAGGAAAAGGAACGTTATGTTCAAAGTATGTTTTTGTTCATGTAGAATTCCTGAATTCATCGTTATGTACTAAAATAAGTACCTATACCTACCTCCGCGGCCGTGTTGTCAAATATCTAATATACAGAGTGGCCTTACCACATATACCTCAGACCAAATTCGTCCAAATTCATCTGAAATGACACTGATTTTAACAAACCTTCCATACTTTTTATTTCATGCACAGAAAATGGAGTTGGAGATTTTGAACAGTTAACTGACGCTGTTGTGATGAAAATTGTTGAGAATCCTAGAGATAGAGCGACAATTGAAACAATGTTAGAGCAGTTCATCAGTGATCAGGCTTCATCAGGTACCAACACAATCGAATTATTGAATACCGATGGAAATTTTTTCAAATTGAACGATCTGACAAATACGGTCTTTTCACCTCACTGTTCAACGTCCACAATATCTTCAGAATCCTCGACAAGATCTTTAGCATCAACATCTCGACCAGCATCAATTGCATCAAATTCCTCAGGTAATTGATGTATAAAAAATCACTAATCTAAGGCGACATATTATGTCGGTATATCTTGGAATTTGAAATAGATCACCCAGTATACTTGAGAATAATGATATCACATTTCATTTCTAACAGAGAAGAAAACCCTGAAAATGAGACTTGAGAAAACGCTGGAGGGAAAAGTTATTTTAATGTTTGCTGAGAAAAACAAAATCAATAGAAGGCATCTTGCTAAATTTCTCGTCGAAGAAAAGATGGACGGTGATGTGAATAGAAGGTGAGTTATTCAAGAAGCAGAAATCATGCGTTATTATATAATATACCTATTTGAATTTTCAGGATAACCAAAGAAGAATTTGAGCGAATGGCAGCAGAAATTGTTGATGCGTTTCCTTCTGAAACGAAGGAAATTTATTTTATTCCATCTAGGAGGATTATGAATAAAAAAATCAGTGCGAAAGGGATTCTCTACGATCACTATTGTAATAAGAGAAAGAGACTAATTAAACTTGGACTCGTACAGAAATCTTCAGCATCAGCGCAAATTACATCAGGTATATGCTCGGGTATATGTAATAAAATATCAACACATAACTGTCATAGACCACTTTCTTATTGCGCTTATTGATATTTTTTGAACAGTAGGTAAATGCTTTACTAGGAAGAAAGTCACAAGTCACATGCCTCTGCCCTTGTTATAATATAATAAAAATAATAATAATAAGATTTAATGCTGCGGCTAGCGTTTCCTAGGCTAGGAAACCAGCCAAAGCACCAAATCTTCATTATTGTAGATTTTTTGGGGTTTTATCACCTCTATGAAATAAAAATATGGGTATAATTTTAATATACGTGTAGTGAGTTTTGACACTTCTCAGTAACAAATGTTAAATTCAAGATTAATAAATGGAAACATCCTATAACTCATTTGTTCGCCAACTTCACCATTTGTCACTGAGAAGTGTCAAAATTTATACCTGACGATGATTCGTGAGAGAAATATCTTCCATTTTTGTGTTGAAAACGGGAGCAGATTCGTTCCCGAAACGTCCAAAGATAAATGCCTTCTCGAAACCTTCTTCAAAACAAAGTGTCACTGACAAGCGAATGAATTTTTTTTTCAGGCTCTCTAATAGGAAAATTTGTAAACGACATTTTGAAGCAAACCATCTGAATTGTTCTCACTACACGTATATTGAAATAATAATAATAATATATTCCATTTCATAGAGACGAGAGAAAATCCCAAAAAATTTACAATAATGAATATACCAGCTCATCGATTAACCTACAGACAGCATTAAATCTTCTTTTCTGCCATGTAAAACTCACCTAATTTTGTTCTTCGAATTCGTTTCAATTCCACGCAGAGTCCAAATATTCAATCATTTTGTGTTCAAGTCATTGTCAATTTTGATCACCAATTTGCTTCAAATTATTACTTGGAACGTAGCATTGCATACACTGAGAAAAATGGGTCAAATGATTATTTCATTCAGAAATTTGTATTGATCACTAGCGAAACTATTACTGCCTGTGAAAAATAAAATAACTGGACCAAAATTATTGATTCATTTGGTATCGCTCACCTACCATAAAAGTTTCTAAATTTGAAACAAAGCGTCTACTGATTTGCGGTAAAACAATTAAAATAATCATTTTCATCATTTGTAGTGAATTCTCAACGATTTTGTCTCAAATCATGTTATTGATGGAGTGAATAGTAATATCATTTGTTATAAATGAAAATGATTGTTCGTCAGAATAGAAACTGTTTGCAGCCAATCAGATGCTTTTCAACTAACAAAACAGCACCAGTTTGAGATTAACGATTTTTCATTGTGCAGAAATGAAAATTAATTGTCCACAACAAAACTACTATAGGTTGGTCAATAACAGTTGATTTGAGAAAAATGCTTTCGCATTCGCCATTAAATTGCGGTCCTTTCGATTTCGCAAATATATCTCTAATTGATAACCAGTTCATTCTCATTTCCAACAAATCAAAAACCACTTGGCCTCCATGAGCCGAAATCCATTGAGCCGACATCGTTGCCGATTGCTAGATATAACTCCCCAAATTAGGTACGCAAGTTTGAGATGTATTGGATAATTTTCTAACCTTATCAGTAGAATATCTAATTCAAATAGTTACATACCAGACATACAACATCAGATAATAGGTATATAGTTTCAGTCTTAACGTTTACTGATAGATGGCGATATATTATGAGGAAATGAACACTAATAACGCCAAGATCAAAGATTACCATTGATTCTCCTACAGACTCGTAGGCTTTTGTTGAAAAACAGAAAATGATTATATTCTTACAAGAGCTCATATTGATTTTTGATACTACCTACAGTACCTACCTAGTTAGTTATGAGTAATCAGAAATATCCTGATGTAAGGGTTCTTATATTTTCACCTAGTCGCCATTTTTTGTTTCTTCTTACCAAGAACTTGTAATGAATATCACGATGACATTCAATAATTAATTCTCTCATTCTCTTTTTTAATTTAGAAAGTCCACCATTATTGGCAACATCGCAATAATGTTCACCGATGGGCGGTGTGGTGGGGTCGATGTCGGCTCGGAGATGAGATTTCTTTTTAGTTACTGTGACCGGCTTTCATTCTGACCATAAAATATAGGAGATCAGGATAATACTTATAAATACTATACGAATTTTTGCTTGAATGGGGACTTGAGAGTTTCTACGAGGACTTTTTAGGTAAGTGTCAATATAATAATGATAACATGTGAATTAAATATAGGGTTTAGGTGAGGTTATAAGGTACGGATGTACATCCTAGGTAAATAATTTATAGGATAGTTATTATAGTTGATGTTCTTATGTTCTTTGTCTTAGAAATCAAATGAAATTTCAAGCTATTGTGTTTGTGAATTCAGATCATACAATCAATAAAACAATTTAAGTCTTATAATTTTTTATGTTGCAGCTATGCCATGGGTAATAATGGAAATTGTGAAGACAGGCGAAGTGATGGAGGCTATACCTTCCAAATGGAATGATGACAACGATCAGATGGTTGTGTACCCTTCATTCAAAAAATCGCAGTTGGAAAAGGCAATCAAAACAGAAATGGAACCAGAGCCATACTAGAAAAATAACAAAGTTGTTTTGATGAGGCCACAACCGATTGAATATTTAGAATAAAAAGCAATGGGAACAAATCGAAAAATATCTGTGGCAAATAAATGATGATTTGAAAGATATAGACAATGTTCTTTGCAGTAATACAAACACCCAGTAGTAACAAAATTGAAACGATTTGCTTCCAACAGAAAACTGATTTGTCTCAAATAATGTGCTAATACATCATGAATGAAACATACATTAATGGGCAATGAAGGTGATGTTAAGAGCTAATTGAGAGATGATTTGAGATTATACATTATGGTCACTTGAAGCAAATGTCAATCACTTGATATAAAAACGCAACCATTTGTGTTCATCATATATGTTATCAGTTATAAATAAGTAAACATTTCGTCCTAGTTGAACAGAGTTATTGCTATAAAATAATCTCAAATCATTGGTAATTTACGTTGAATATTTGAACTATTGGTTGTAAGTATTAAAGTTATTACCTCGGCAAAATTCTCGAGTTATTTGCTTCAAATGCATAGTTCACTCGTCCCCTATTTTGTTGAGGTTTTCGCTTGGGAGAAGTGGTTTTTGATTTGTGATCAATGACTTTTTTTCTCCGTGTAGCAACAAACTTTTTCTGCCTAGGCAGTGAAAGTATACCTTTCATAAACTGTTTAGTGTCATTGAAAAGCCACTTTTAATGTCAATTGGAGAAAACACACTTTTTTCATGAACAAATCATTGAATAATTCTGCTCAATGTATTCCATTCATGTACATACAGGCACAAAAAATGGCTCAAAATAATTGCTCCCATTTTTTCCAATCAGATTAGTCCTTTATGTCGAAAATCTCTTATTGTTACTTATAGGGAATATCGCTATTGAATTATCCCTAAACGAACAAGAGGATATCACTTGGTTGAGAAACTCTATCGAACCATGGACTATTGTCTTAGAAAAATGGAAGGTAACGTTGGCTGGTAGGCGACAATTCATGATAGAGAAAACTATCCAAGAAATTTTGGACAGTTTTCCATCATACAAACATCAGTTGGGTTATTGTTTGGTAAGTACATTATATCATTTTATTTTTGAGCGCACATTAACCAAATAATGTATTTGCAGGTTGAACATGACTTCGAGTTGATGTTCGAAGGAAAGAATAATAATTTTTTTCTGAATTGGCCCCTCAAGAAAAATAAATTATTGAATTTATTGCAATCTTGTCAAATGAAAGAAGTCAAGTCTTGCATTTCCCAGTTGCCAGCCGACGACCTGCCCAATAGTGAAGTATTGCCGCTTCTTATACTCCCACTATACTTTCCACCAAAAAAAATCAAGAATACTAGCTGGAGACCATCAAAAATGGAAATTCAGGAGGGGTTCATTCTTTTTGTCAAGGTATAGTTAGAAATAAGTAGGAACATACACTAAAACTATATGCCGATATATATTTTCAGAACGTTGCAGATATTCAACCACATTTGTTCTACAAGAGGAACAAATATGAGAAATTGAAGTTGACAATGCAACCAATACCCATATTCATAGGTGAAAACTATACAAAAATTGAAAAATCATTCGTTAGCATCAGCGACATTTTCTGGGAGGTTCAATCACCATTGCAAGCGATTGATATTTGTTTCAAATGTTTCCATGTTTTTGATGCCAAATATCCAGTGGAATCTGACATGATCTGGCTCTTCATACAACAAACTTTGTATGATATACATACCAGCTATGACACAGATTATGTATCTTTGAAATCACTGCAATGTGAAATTGATTGATTTTGTTAGTCATTTACACACGATTATTTCATTGTCCAGTTCCTTCAGTTGTTGATTATTTTTAATTTGTTTTCATTTCTAAAACATTTTGAATTTTTTGTTCGTTTACTTGATAGAAATATCAATACATATTTGATTTTTATATACTTTCACAAGTTTATCATGTTCTATATATCTTAAGAAATTTCTTCAAAAATAATTAAATGAGTTTTATATTACTGGCTTTTCTTCATTTGAAACCAATAATAATCTCCAGTCTTCCTAAAGGGCAGGCAATGTCGAAAGTTTACGTTGTTTTGGAGCTATAGGGGACTATTTATTATTTCAATAAATTACTAAAATAAAACAACAGAAATTATGCGTCCGAGTGAGAAAAATCAAATTACTCTCAAAATTCTCTATGTTTTCAGAGTAATTGCAGTATTATTTCCAATAAGTACGGTATAATATCAAAAATATCTTTTATGTTAAGTCCTTGCTATGTCTCACATGAGTAAGGAATTATTGATTGTTTCCTTGTCAAAGAAAAGTTCCATGTTTGAGTTATTTCTATACCTATGTGCTTTTTCATTATAATTATATGAACCTTTCTAGAATATTTTTGCTTTTCTTTCCCAAGAAAACAATTCATCAAAACCCTTCAGAATCCGTTAAATATTCTAGTGATTTTCACAGCCGAGAATAATCGTAATTAATTCGAATAACTAGTGAATAAAACCGCCCGGTGTAGTTTCTGGGATCGTATGCCGCAGTAAAATAAACATAAATGTGTGATAATTTCATGAGAAAAGGTGTGATAAACACCTCAGTATTTGAATCTACCGTGAGTCGTGGTAAATTAATGCCGACGGTGCGTTAGTCTAGATATGACACGATTCACTATAGATGATTCAGAGAAATCTACCAGTAAGTCGTGGTAAATTGAATGCCGACGGTGCGTTAATCTAGATATGACACGTTTCACTATAGATAATTCAGTAAAAAAATCTGTTCGTAAATCGAACAGTTTGTGAAGTGAGAATTACTGAATCAAATCTACTAGCTAGTCATAGTATCGAATACACCCGTCGTGGTATTCTACTGAATGTGTTCGTGGTATACTTTATCAGGATGTTATGTTGATCTACTTCCAGTTTTCGCATTTAATATCACCACGATAAGTAGTAGGATACTTCTAGGGTTGTTATAACATATTAATGGAGTATATTTCAACGCGACGAATGTTTGTCCCTATTTTTAACGTTTTTCGTGGTAATATATGTCACGATTCTAGTAGTTCGTACCATTCTTTTCTCTGCGTGTTTGACAACCACTTAACGTAGGTATCCTGATCCTATCAAGAGAAGTAAAAACACTAATAGAAAGAAAACGGGAAATGCACCAAGTGCAATTTCCTGTGATATACTATGATAATACTATAGAAGGAAAGATAGTGAAAAACAACAAAAAAGTATGGAAATTCAAAAAAGAAAGAGGACAGGAAGCGACTCAAAGAAAGCCGACTACAAGATAATGTCCAACGAGAAATGAAAAAATGTCAGAAAAATTCCTGCAGAAACCTCAGCAAAAATTAAATAGATTCCCTGTGCCTTATGCCATGCAAATTTGAACAGTGATACCGAAGATGAAGACAAAAAAAATATTGGCTGCGATTTTTGTGAGAATTGGTTCCATAAAAAATGTACTGAGTTTTATATACCATACACTATTGCAGCTGCCAAAGATTACAAATATGATTTATGTTAAGCTTATCCTTGTTCGTACCTATAGATTTAACAAATCAAAAACAATGACTAAGTTCCTATTTAGAAAAACAAGTTTATTTTTTCGTTTTTTGTTGTTTGCTTACATGAAATGATTTAATAAATAAAAGTTTTATGTATCAAGTGTTTATCAATTATCTAAATTCTTTGAGAATCAGTCAGATGGGTGGTGGTCGAGAATCGACATAAAAATGGTCGAGAACTCTGCGGGGTGGTCAAGAACCAGTGAAATTGTAGATTTTTCCCTTTTATCGATATTTCGATTGTTTAATGCCAAAGAAAGCTCAAAAAACATTCACGAATCATTCTAAACATATCAAGGAATCAGAAAAACCCTAGGGAAATGAAATTCTATAAGCTTTTGCATGAATTTTTTATCTTCAAAGTTGAGATTCCCTTTAACTGGTCGAGAACCAGTGCATTTACCCTATAAGGGTGGAATTTCAACTTGATCGTCGTGGACCGAAATTGACACATTATTGCGTGCGGACCTTGAGTGAAATTTCACTAAATTTTTTTTCCATGATGTGTACTTATAAATTCCAAAAGTTGTAATTTTTTATCTCTTTATCTTTTCAATCTCCATTCTTAAATCTTGATAAACTGACCAATTTCACGATCTGTTCACTCATATCAAATTCATCCATAATATAGACCACTTCCAAAAAAAAAACGTAATGCTATATACCTACGATACATCAAGATAGCATCTCGATTGCTTATATAAGGTATATAGATTTTGTATATTGCGTATCTATTGTTTTTGAAAAGGAATCAAATGTCAACATTAAGTACAACCCTATATCAGAATTTTCTGTAACTTATGGTATATAATATTCTGTATATAAGTATAGGTATAGGTACCTATGTGATAAAATATTCAACTCATAAGATTTCAACAGACATCCAAGTTTTGTTTTTGTAAAATTCGTTTGCCAATCTGATACCCCAACTATAGCCCTATTACCTACCTATCCATAATAGATACCTACTTACTTGTACAGTATGATTGAGTGATCAGTATAGGTATTAGGCGTATACCTATATTGTAATAGCATGCCATATAATTATAACATTTAGATCAACATACCTATCTACTACCTATTTCGCTGACAAATAAATAATTATCAGCCCGATTGAAATCACCAAATTGGCACCTATAAAAAACGCCCAAATTATCGGAAAACACACCTTGACTATCCCACCGCCATCCAATCAATATCAACTAGACGACAGCCGAGCACGAGCTGCTTGCAAGCAAGATAACATTTAATTAGAGTCTAGGGCGAGCACCATCTGCGGAGCATATACGTATTAATAAAGAATACGGATCATAACGGGTGCCAGGATGAAGCCAAAAATATGAAACAAATGAATATCCATAAGGATTTGGTGGCATGATACGCATGCGCCATGCGCTATTATAGTATAGTCATCAAAGACATGCGTTCCGGTGGACAATGACGTTTACTAGCCTTTCAATCAAAGCAGTATGACGTGTCTGATCGTTTCAAAACTTTTCCTTATGGATAGTTATTTGTCTTCAAAAATCGGCTTCATGTTTCGCTATGCAAACATATAGAGATTATCCGTATTGATTATTAATACGTATATGCTGCGGAGTTGAATTTACTCGATCGTGAAAATGTCCTTGACTAACAACAGAATTTCTCGAAAAGCGTGCACTTATATTTAGGCCTATAATGAAATAGTATATTTAGGCCTATAATGAAATAGTTTGAATAAATCATTTTCTAGGCCTAACCTAAAAATACCAGAGACCCGTTTTCGACAAAGATATTTGCTTTGATTCCTGTAATTATTCAACATAAAGAGCAACCAGTAGGTATTCCAGGCTAAACCTCAGGGTTTGCAATTATACAGCCTATATACACTCCCTTGGCTCCTTATTTATTCCAGGTCGATTCAATAACATTGACCCCTAGTTTATACTGTAGGTACCGAGGTATGTATACCTCCTGTACCTGTCTCCACAGTTGTTACCCAGGCCTTCTAATAAACTGAGGATTTTATAGAATCAGGTGATGGAGTAAACCGCCTCATAAACAATCTGGCGCCCGAGACCCCTCCGACAAGTATATCAGAGTATAGTGCCTGCATGTCCAAACAAACACCACATATAAAAAAAATCTTTGTGTGTGCGTTTTCCTAAATAAGTATTGTTAAGATAATTGAATTATTTCCGATCTCTCTCACATGCTGTAGAATTTGTGATTTGTTTGTTGATTCTTTCAGATTTACTACCTACTATAAATTATAGTAAATATAGCTCTGCAAAGATGACATAACATATCATCATTACTATATAAAAGATTATATTTTTTACTACTATACGAGTTTCCATTACCAAATAAATGAAACTACAATATTATAGTATAGAAATTGCCTCTCTTTTTCTTCTGTGTAGATATAGTTTTTCCTGTTTTAGAGAGAAAACGCACATAAATATTTTTTTTGTTAAATATTCGGTGCATGGTCAAAAACCCGCCGTATTACAAATATCGGCTCTTTCATTACCTAAGTGGTCGAAATCGACAACTAATGCATATCTTGAATAATAATTGCTTATGTCCAAAAATACTTATGAGTACCTAGGTACTTTCTTTGGGAAATGTTCGCATTTTTTCGTAGATATAACATATATTGAATTATTTACATATCTACTCAATGGAATATTAGTTTGTGACCATCAAATGAAGCCAAGGTACCTATATATAAATAATATTTATTTTGCAATTCATTCATTGATATAGTCGTGTGGGGAATTTCTCCACTCATGTATACAGGGTGTCCGGAAATTATGCGCAAAAAATCAAGGGGGTGATTCTCCATGAGAAAACATAAAATTTATTTCATATATACTTGGGTCCAGAAATGCATAGTTTTCAAGATACAGTGTGTTGAACTTTTTATAAAAAATCAGTTTTTTATGAATATCTCAAATATCCTTCCACCGATTCCCTTGAAATTTGGCAATGATATTCTTCGTCATGAGGGGCTGATTTAACCATAATTTGAATTGGGATTGTGAAATACAGTGGCGCCCCTGGGGCACCCTACCAAATATTATTGTCAATAAAATGTGCGCCACTGATTTCTTTGAATTCTTCATCTTCATATCCTGATGATTAACTGAAAATACAACATTTTGATCTCTTGAAATGTTTTGCTATTTTGCCGCGTTTCCGTGGAAAAAAATAAATACCAATTCATTGT